CTTAAATTATTACATTCACCGACTAACATACCATTGAACTGATCTCGAATTTTCTGTTGTGTTATGCTGAGATAAATCATAATGAACGCATCTGTGCTCTGTTACAGCATCGACGGTAGCAGAGAAGCTAGAAAATGAGTTGCCGACTTATGGACGAGCTGGTCTACTATTCGCTGCTTACTTTGGCTACCTATCCTGTTTAATATATTTGTTGGAGGTTAGTCTTTGAGTTTCGGAATTTTGAGGCCTTTACCTCTCAGAAGAACTTTTTTGACGTGGCAGGTATTCTTCTCATCGTCTGAAATCCGTGAACTAATCCGTAATAAGACCCCGGAATTCGTAGAGGACCTGGTTGGTTCTTTGTATGTATAGTACCGACAGGCTGAGGTGCCCGGCTAATTGAAATTGCTTGTATTAGCAACACCACGTACTATTCTCCTACACAGCTGACCTGGCCAGATTCATAGTTTCATTGTGATTTAATCAAACTTCTACATTTTCACTGCTCTAGATAGTTTCAGAGAGAACCGAAGTTGGTCTCCTCACGTGATCCACGTGGAAGAACTGCATTACATTTGGCGTCATGGAGGGGCCATTACCAATGTGTAGAATATTTGATGGAGAAAGGGGTGGAACTGGAAGCGGCTGACGATGAGGGTGCAACAGCTCTTATGTATGCAGTAAAGGAAGCGAACTCGGTGCACATTGTTGGTTGGTAGTTTTTCCTCATATCTTTTTCTTTATCTCATTTTTCTCTCAACTCTATTGATAAGTAGATTGGTTTAGAGTACCTTTTGAACAGTGGAGCAGATGTATCAAGGAAGGATTGCAATAACAATACAGCGTTGCATCATTGCTGTTTGAGTAAAAACGAAGATTGCGGCAAGGTATGTTTTTGTTGGTCTCCGTGATCTTTTTTGATTCAGAATATATAGTTAGTTTTAAGGTGCTGGCGAATCATTTGGCCAAGTCTGATCCGAAACGGGAAATTTGTAATGCTACCAACAATAATGGCGAAACGTGAGTTTTTTTTTCGTTATCATTATCTTTTTATATGACTAGGTTATCGGTTGTTTAGTTGTTGTAATGTTTGAAACTGAAACTCGATCGAAAGTTCAAAATTTGGAATCCTGTTAAGCGTCTTTTTTCTCTTTGTAGTGGTCCAAAGATGTCTGGTACTTAATTTCGTGTAGCTCTTGCTCAGTTTACGGTACCACCTGGCAGCAGAGGTGTGCTGGCCAAAAACAAAAAGATCATTCGGAAGACTGATTACTTCGTGCAAGTGCCTAGGAATTTACTGTTTTCTAACTTTGAGTTACACTAGGAAGTG